CACATAAGGTCAGGTCTGATCCGCTTCATCTACGTTGTAGGAAAGATATAATATGTGTAATCCTCTTTATTTCTGGTCCCAGAAATTCTGAAATTTAAAATTATGTTTCCATCTTTCATAAAATTATTTCTCATTTCCATCCTTCTTCAGTTTGTAATCTTCATAGGTAATCCCCCACAGGATTCCAGACTAGTTGCAGTAAGCACTATTTCAGTAGCAGCTTATATTCAGTGTTTCTTGACACATAAATTAGGGCAGTAATTCAATTTGAAATTTACAGTCCTAGTATGAGATACTGATGAAAATGTTCAAGTTGGCCAAGTGTGGTGACTCACGCTTGTAATCACCACACTTTGGGAGGCCAAGGCGGGTGGATCACATGGTCAGGAGTTTGAGGCCAGCCTGTCCAATATGGTGAAACCCCATTTCTACTTTAAAAAAAAAACAAAACAAAAACCAAAATTAGCCAGGCATGATGGTGCATGCCTAAAGTCCCAGCTACTTGGGAGGCTGCAGCAGGAGAATTGCTTGAACCCGGCAGGCGGAGGTTACAGTGAGCCAAGATTGTGCCACTGCACTCCAGCCTAGGCAACAGAATGAGACTTTGTCTCAAAAAAAAAAAAGAAAAAGAAAAGAAAGAAAATGCCCAAGTTGTTAGATTTTACAAGCGTGTACCTACCACTTTGACCATTCGTTGCTAGGCAGTGTGTTACCCAATGGGCAGATTTCGATGATAGTTTTCATCTCTTCTGACAGTAAAAATTGCAGACAGCCAGGCCAAGTGGCTCATACCTGTAATTCCAGCACTTTGGGAGGCCAAGGCAGGAGCATCATTTAAGCCCTGGAGTTCGAGACCAGCCCTGACAACATAGAGAGATCCCATCTCCACAAAAAAATTTAAAAATTAGCCAGGTGTGGTGGCACTATTCAGGAGGCTGAGTTGGGAGGATTGCTAGAGCCCAGGAGGTCAAGGCTGCACTTAAAGAACAATTTTAATTTAGCACTTAAAGAACAAGTATTTTCACCTACATTCCTGTCATACAATTCAGTAATTGTTAAGCTTATAATTTTCCAGTGATTACCTATGTATTGCCTAAACACATATAGATTGGCTGTTTCATGACAGCCTAAGGAGAGGTGGACTGGAATTTCTTAGCCAATTTCTCTCTTCTATGATTTATTTTTTTTTTTAAGACAGAGTTTTGCTCTTGTTGCCCAGGCTGGAGTGCAATGGCGCGATCTTGGCTCACTGCAACCTCTGCCTCCTGAGTTCAAGCAAGTCTCCTGCCTCAGCCTCCCAGGTACCTGCGATTACAAGCATGCACCACACCGGGCTAATTTTGTACATTTTAGTAGAGACGGGGTTTCTCCATGTTGGTCAGGCTGATCTTGAACTCCTGAACTCAGGTGATCCGCCCACCTCAGCCTCCCAAAGTGCTGGGATTACAGGTATGAGCCAATGCACCCAGTTTTTTGTTTTTCGTTTTTAATGTATAACATGGGTTTTACTATGTTGTCCAGGCTGGCCTCCAACCCCTGGGCTCAAGCAATCCACCCACCTTGGCCTCCTGAAGTGCTGAAATTACAGGTATGAGCCACTGTATGCAGCCCTATCATTCTTTCTAAAATTTTAGCCTCACAAAAGTCTTTCCCTATTTTTGGCATTTTGTCATGTGAGCAGTGAGCCATGGTCATGCCACTGCAGTCCAGCCTGTGCAACAGAGTGAGACCCTATCTCTTTAAAAAAACATTGCAGATAGGCTCTTCCAGGGTTTGAGCTAGAACTGTATCTCTCTGAATTTCTTAACAGTACACAGAGCACTCTGCAGGCAATATTGGAGTGACTGAGTCATTTGCACCTCACCTCAGTATTCGTTTTACCAGCTTATAGATAAAGGCCTTCTCTAATGCCTGTCCCAGGCATTTCAAGGGCTACTTCTAATCTGGTAGGTATTCCAGAAGTCTGAATAGGGTCTTAATGTCAGCTGACCACTCCCTGTAATTCCACATATATCTGAATGACTACCATCAGCCATGGGACAGAAACCTCTCCCCTCATACAGCTTACATTCAAGTGAGATACAGGCAGTAAGATGTTTTTAAAAAATAGAATATCCGGCCGGGCGCGGTGGCTCACGCCTGTAATCCCAGCACTTTGGGAGGCCGAGGCGGGTGGATCACGAGGTCAAGAGATCGAGACCATCCTGGTCAACATGGTGAAACCCCGTCTCTACTAAAAATACAAAAAATTAGCTGGACATGGTGGCGCGTGCCTGTAATCCCAGCTACTCGGGAGGCTGAGGCAGGAGAATTGCCTGAACCCAGGAGGCGGAGGTTGCGGTGAGCCGAGATCGCGCCATTGCACTCCAGCCTGGGTAACAAGAGCGAAACTCTGTCTCAAAAAAAAAAAAAAAAAAAAAATAGAATATCCGGCTGGTTGTGGTGGCTCACACCTGTAATCCCAGCACTTTGGGAAGCTAAGGCGGGTGGATCACCTGAGATCAGGAGTTTGAGACCAGCCTGGCCAACATGGTGAAACCCCGTCTCTACTAAAAATACAAAAATTAGTCAGGTGTGGTCACTGGCACCTGTAATCCAGCTACTCTGTAGGCTAAGGCAAGAGAAACACTGGAATCCAGGAGGCAGAGACTGCAATGAGTCGAGATCGCACCACTGCACTCCAGCCTGGGTAACACGAGTAAGACTTCGTCTCAAAAAAAAAAAAAAAAAAAAAAGAATATCTAGTGTGTTCACTGATGATGATGATGATGATGCTAAGGAAAAAAACAGAAAAGCAGGAGAGACATGACATGTCAAGAAGGAGGTGGGTATGAAATATTAGATTAGGTAGACAGGGAAGGCCTCAGTGAGAAGGTAACTTGGGTGAAGGCGGGAAGGGAGTAAGGGAATAACATACCAGTGGGGAGAATTTTCCAGGTGGGGAGAAGAGCAACTGCAAAGGCCTAGAGAAGCCATGCAAGGAAGCTGGAGTGGCTGGACAATGTGAACGAGGAATCAAGTCATAGAAGATGTTGTGGAAAGGCAGATCATCTAGGGCCTCACAGGTCATGCAGGTCACATTTTGAAAACGCTCTGGCTTTTGCTGAGTGAGATGGGAAGCCACTGCAAAGTCCGAGCAGAAGTACAAATGGGCTGACTTGTGGGACAAGGGCAGAGGCAGGGAAAGCAGTGAGAAGGCACCAAAATGATCCAGGTGAAGATTGCTAGTGGCTTGCACCTTGCTGCCACACCCCAGACAC